TGACTTATGCCACTTTGATGTGCCAGACATATTCCGTTTGTGTAATTGGAAAGCTGGTAGCAAATTTTGTAGTCACTGTTCCATCCAAACAGACTTAGGAAGAGGAAGTAAACAAGACAAAAGGAATAGAGTAAGGGACAATGGAAGGAGATGATTCCTAACAAAAAAACTACAAAGTAGAAACTTATCGGATGTGGATACCAACTCTAATGACCATAAATGCATTTTTGGATTAATGACCTAATCTGTCAAGAAAGTCTAATGTTCAACTCTTGTTGTACCTTTTTGTCGTGAAACTGGGCTTCAATGCTCCGATTATTCTATCTGATTCACGATCTTTGTTCGACTTGTGGTGCCCGAAGGGTTTTTACCATCAAGTCTCTCTCATTTTGTTCTTTCTCTCAACTCACCATCGCCTTATGGTGCCTATGAAGGTTTTCACCAATAAGATTCTCTCATTTTTCTTTTATTCATTTTTTATTCTGCAGGTGACAAGGCATTAACATGGTAAAAACAGCATATACTCTTGGCATGTCTAAATTCAGCACTCTCAAAGATTCTCTGGGAGGTCTTTTTTGGACTGTAATGTGGCCTTTGGACACGGTTGGAAAGAAAGGATACATAAAGGCTCAAAATTACGAAAACAGCAGGGTTAATTTATTTACAACTTTTGGAATCCCTTTCAAAACTTTGCCCCAATTTCTAAAACAAAAGAATTTGATTCTTTTTTTTTCTTTTAATGGAGTTACTAAGAAAGATTGCCCCACTCTCGAATTCATGGGATTATGAAATATTTATTTGGTATGACTGAACCATAAGGTTGCCTACGTATCTTGTAGTGACAAGAATCAGGTAAAATGTAGTTCGCAAAACTACTTTTTGTTACTATTTGCCTTTTCTTTTCCTTTTCTTTTTTTTTCTCTTTTTGTTTTTTCTTTTTCCTTATTTTTTTCCTTTTTTTCTTCTTTATCTCTATTTTTATCTCCCTTTTTTTTGAATTTGCCTTTTGGAATGAACTTTGTAAAATAAACCTATGGGGACATGAATTCTTCCCTCTTTTTTTTCCTTTTTTTTTTCATATGACTCTAACTCGATTCCAAAAGAGGGGTGGTCAAAGAAATTAATACAGGCTCAAAAGGGTATCAAATGATATAAGTGTTTGGGTAGCTGAAGGGGGCCTCCCAATCCATGAAAATGCCAAGTACAACACATGCAACTTGAAATGAAAATTGAAGATCATGCACAATATTTCTTTTGCGGCTTCAGCATTGATATTACTGATATGCCTTCCACTCTTCTTTAGCGCCTTGTCAAGTACAAAACCCTCGTTGGGTGATTCCCTTTTCACAATGGATATCCTCCGTCAATTCGGAGAAAACTTCCTTGACTTTATTTTGTAACTTGAGATGCATTCGAACTCAAAGTTGCTTGCTTCAAATCGTCCGGGATGCACTCTCCTTTAATGAATTCTTGCCACCCTATTAACTTCCCAAATTATCTGCCCAGGTTTCACATGGTTCGGGCTTCAAATGATCTCAAAATGTCCAAATTTGTACTTATTTCCCTCAATGTCCCTATCATCTTCAAAATTGTTTTATTGCTTCATGATTAAACTAACTTTAAAACCATGCCTAGAATTATGTGTGTATGTCATGTCACTAGAGCCAGCATGAGAAAAAAACTATAAAAGGAGAAGAGAGCTAAACAAAAATGACCAGAAATAACAGAAAATAAGAAATTGCATTAGACAGACGGTGAAAGGGTTTGAACAATAAGACGAGCAAAATAAACTGGGGTACAACCCTGGAACAAAACTAGACGACACTAAACGAGCTACTACGACCAAACAAACTAGACAAAATAAAAGGAGAGAAGGGTTTGAGTCACAAGACAATATCCGGATTACAACCCTAAAAATAACCCAGACAACAGAAATGACAATAAAATAAACCACCACAACTCCTCCCCGGGCTAACCAAGAATGGAGCGTCTTTCCAATTACCAAGCACGGCATCTTAGCCATTGAGTTTTGCATCACCATTACTAGGACCTTCACAAGTCTCCATCACATTGACTTTAGCGAATTGCGGTGTGGTCCCTTTTGAGATCAAACTCTAATAGCGCTGAAAACTTCGCAGCACGTGGACCTCCGAGGACCTCAGAAGAATTCTCATATTCCTTTTCAAAACAAATCATACCTACCATATACGTCTCATTATGAATAGGCGATGGACTTTGGCTAGTGTCTACTACATCTGGATTTTGCACGACAATGTCACCTATGTCAATAAGCTTCTGAATTACTTTTTTCAGGTGCCAACATTTTTCTGTGCTGTGACCCGGGGCATCGGAGCAATATGCACACCTTTGAGAAAAATCAAACTTCTTTGGCAGAGGGTTTGACATTTTTATCTGAATCGGCTTCATCATGTCCAATGGTCTCAACCTTTGGAACAAACTGGCATATGATTCTCCAATAGGAGTGTAAGCCTTTTCTTTTTTCTGTTGTCTTTTCAGTTTGTATTCTGGCCTCGGTTGGAACCTTTTGCAGGCAGGTGGCTGATATGCTTGAGAGGGCGAGTAAGACATTTGGGGAAGTGGTGCAGGCCATCGCGGGCCTCGCGGGTGTGGAGCATATGGTGGTGCATTGTGGACAGGGTACTGGGAAGGTGATGTACGACTTTGGGGTTTCTGTGGAGAGAAGTAGCATTGGGGAGGATCATCTGGTGCACAAGGATATCCATGAGGTCGATGTCGAGGCTGAAATCATTGAGCAGGAATGCCTAGCAGATCATCTTTTCTATTTCACTTTCTTCCACCCAAACTTACCGGGTTGTTCTGAATGTCTTCCGTAGTATCTTTCAATGCCGAATAACTTATGATTTTGCCTGACTTAATTCCCTATTCTACCATTTCCCCCATTTTTACCACATCATTGAAAGGTTTACCCAAGGTCGGAATCAAATGACTGAAGTAGGTGGGCCCCTGGTCTTGTAGGAAAAGCTCAACCATTTCTTTTTTACCAATTGGAGGACTGACTCAGCAGCTTGCTCCCTCCATCTGAGCCCAAACTCCCTAAAGCTTTCCTCCGGTTTCTTTTCTATCTTATATAGGGAGGAGCGGTCTGGGGGAATGTCTAATTTGTATTGAAAGTGTCGAACAAAATCTTGAGCCATGTCGCCCAATGTATGCCACTTACCGACATCTTGATGATTATGCCATTCCAAAGCTGTCCCAGTCAAGCTCTCACTGAAATACGCCATCAACAAATCATCTTTCTCACCAACACTTCTCATTTCCCTGCAATAACCCCTCAGATGGGCTATCGGATCTCCACGCCCCTCATATAAATTGAACTTTGGCACTTTAAACCCCGCATGCAAATGAACATCAGGGAACATATGAATCTGATTTCTCATCCCTTGCATGCTCCTTAAGGACTGTTCTATACCTTTCACCTTCCTGGATATTTCATCTCGCCCTTCTTTCCCTATGACCTTTTCATTTTCAGCATGAGGCTCATTTCGAGGGCTCTGCTTGTATGAGTCAAGAACCTTGTGGGACACCTCTGAGGAATAGTATTAGGCATCATGAGCTTTAAGTGGGTATTCATTGTTGGGGATAGTGGATATGACAAGAGGGCAACTTTGGGGAAAAGTAATTGGAGGACGAGTGATGGAGCTACTAGGGTGGTTGGGAAAGCTATGATAAACGGGAAAATCTGGAGAGTATGGGGAATCATCTGGCACTATAACCGGAGTTTGGGTAAGGGTAGCATCTAGGAAGGTAAGTGGTGGCGGGGGTGGTGCCTTCCCAGTCATCCAAGCCCGATACATGTCCGCCATGTGTTGTCTTAACATCCTCACCTCTTCAACCAACCCATTGTCCTGTTCAACCAATTGCTTTTGGGCACCCGTATCAATCAACTCAGTTCTATTGTCATCTGCCATTGCCTTTCAACTTTATATTATAGATAAGAGTTACCACTTTAAGAATCACAAATCAACCACCTTTCTGCTATAATGAAGATAACAAAAGAACAAAATGAAGTCATCACGTTAGCGTTAGGGCATTTAACATAAGATAATCTCACTTTATGTGCAATGCACCTAGCCACAGTTATCGGTTCTAAAATAACTTCGAGGGTACGAAGGTTAGTTGGCATCATCCCAATTTGTTCATCTCAATCCTCTCTTTTCTTTGCTTTTCTAGCACTTGCTTGCTCATTTTCCTTCCTTTTTTTTTGCTAATTATCACTCTCTTATTTCCTCTCATTTCTCACATCCCATCATTTCATCCCTTTTTTTCTTTTCTTTTTTTCCTTTTGTATTTTCATAAAAATAAAAAATTTCGATCGAACCCTATGTAGGTTGCCTACGTATCATGACGGTGTATGAATCAGATCTTTGCGTAGTTCGGAAAAATCGGGAATAAAGTAAACAAACTAACGTTGTTTTTTTTCTTTTTCCCTTTTTTTACCTTAATGACTAATCTGACGAGAAAAAGGAAATAAAAGAAACAAATCTTTTTTTTTGAGTTTTCTAGACTTAATGTTCTACAATCTATTTTTTTTTCCAGATGAAGATCATGGTATCATAACATTTCATGGATACATACATGAAATATTAGCCTACTGTAGCTAAAGCCATAGATGAAAATACATAAAACCCTTAACAACACTAAAGCATGGATAGGCATCATCCTCGACAAATAAGCATAATAGCAGGTTCTATCAAATTATCGAGAATCCATGATGATGTTTTCCATCATTCAATCCCAATCAACTCTCTTAATGCCATTAAGCTGAAATCTTTGCACACGCTGGAGGATTGTGACCTGTGAGCAGCAAGCCAGTTGTTCCTGGACCCAAACAAACAGTTGCTCCTGGTCCAAAGATTCTTGTTGGCTCCTAGAAATGTATTTTGTCTTGGGCTTTCTTGGTCTGACAAGCTTAATTTATAAAGAACTTGCTCCCCGCTGATGTCCACCTTGAACTGGCATCAGCGACAAGCGTGAATTGGTCTAGAATGTGCAAATCCTGCTGTGCTGCGCCTGAGGTGAGATTCCCATTTAGATGTTGGCGTGACTGTTTCAAAAGCTTCCACGAGCAATGCTACCTTTCTCTTGCGATCTGGTGCAAGTTTGTCCACTGCTCGTCGGAGTGCAAAATCAACCTTCCAGTCCTCTGCATTTGTCCTGTCATCCATCATCTGATGCTTGAGATCAACTTTCTCTACTTCTGGATCTGCCTCCACTGACGGGAAATTTGGGGCTCGTGGATTGAATTCTTTTGATTCCCCTGGCTCCTCAATGTCAATGCGCCTGGCTATGCCCCTCAGGTTTATGTAGCTCTCAGACAGTTCTACACTCGAATCATATTTATGTGTCTTCTTATCTTTAAATCTTGGTGCATCTTTGATTTGGTTCAGCTTTTCCTCACATGCCTCAGTTGTTGAATCTGCTTTGACACCAGAAGCGCTTTCAGTTCTCTTGAGATCTGCATCCACTACCAATTGTTATCATTACTGCCATGATCATTTTCATTTCCTTGTTCATAGCAATCTATTTTTGTTTTCGCGTCTTCCATCTTGACAACAATGTTTTCATCAGAACTTTTTTGATTGTCCTTGCATGTTTCATCTTGTACTTCATTGAAATTTCAAACATCTAGCTCTTGATACCCCATAAGTGTAGTTGCATCATCATCTTGAAGATTTGTATAGTCCTCGCAAGAAGCTGAAATTTCATCTTCTAGAGAAGGTAACAACAATATGATTATCCATTGTTGCTGCCTCGCCGTCTGCTAGACAGGGACCGCGCTCATCTTCTGGCTTCTCAGCTATTTCCTGTTCCAGAAAGAAAGTGGCATCCAGAGAGTTATTTGAGGTGTCCTCAGACGCTTCAACACACTCATCAATGTCAAATTCTGCGTGCAAACAGGCAGATTGTGAGTCATCATAATCATAACTTATTCTAGAGATGATACTTCCGTTATCCAAGGCCTCTTCCAGAATAGATGATTTTTCCATAAATTCGTCACTGCCAACTGAATCATCAACCAGTGTGATGGGCTTTATATCATTTGAGATTGAACCTGTTTCGCCTTTGCTGTTTGCATAGTACTTCTCTACATCCCAGTCCATATCGGAAGCTTCAGGCTCTTCTATATCTAATTCACTATGCATACTCAAGGATTCACAATCTGCCTCTTCAGTAGCACCTTCATTTAGATTCTCTGTAAGAGAGAAGCCAAGGATGTTAATTTTTGCTGAAATATCTTCTCTCTTTTGATCAAGATTGCCCTCTGCATCATCTGCTGCCACTTCACTGCCTTCATTCGAAGTTACTAGATCATCTGCCGAGTTTGTGTTTTTACTAATGTTATCAGCCATCTCTTCCCTTTCTTTGTTATAAATTTCGATAAAAAAATCTCTGTCGCCGTCTTTATTTGTCAGAGGATCTACCTCTGTAGGATTCACTATTGGTTTTCGTACATTAGCATTCAAGCCTAATCCATGGGATTAGCTCAACGAGGAGATAGGCATCCAAACTTGAAGTTCCTATGAGTCTTTAATGCACGCCTTTTAGCTGACAAGAAACACTTTAATGGAGGCAAAGGAGGGTGATGATGGCCATTAAGAGAGCAATATGTGTAGGGGCAGACCTTAAAAACAGAAGTTCCATATGATTCTGTTGCTCCGGGACTAAGTTCAAGGTATGAAGGAAACTTAGCTTCTTTCAAAGTTGACGAACATGTTGCTCTTTCAACGTGGAAGTTTTCACACAGAACAACAGCTGGGGAACATGATTTCTTGGTTGAAGCTCTTACTGGTTTAAAACTGGGAGTTTTTGTCAAGGTAGTCCTCACTAGTTTCAAACTAGAAGTTCTAGCTAAACTTCTTGTTGGTTTATTAACAGAAGAACCTGAGCTTAACTTTGAGTTATTTGAATCTTTCTGCTAGAACTTTGAGAATAAGTTTGAGGGCTCCTTGAACTAACCTGAGACTGCTCTTCCCTTGCAACAGAACTGCTGGTGGACTTCATATAATTTGGAGTTGACTTCTTTGGTGTTGAAGAATTAGTAGTGCTATGGACAAGAGGTGGTGGCTTTCCTGGCTGAGGAACATGCCTTCTGAATTTGGGTGAGTGACGGATTTCATATTATGAGAGCTTGGTTTTGCCTGATTTCTTCATCATCTTTGTCTTGAGGTCAGCTCCTCTGTTCTTGATATCATGTTTTGGTGATATTGGTAAAGATGGTTTGAGGTTCATCATTTGTTTGTTGGCTTTAATATGATCAGCTTTGATATCAAGCTTGTTTGGAACCTTTCTTTGCACCATCTTAGTTGGTTGGAATAAGATATATTCTTTTCAAAGGAAAACCACAAGGATTTTTGGTTATGAGGTGAGGTTTTCTTGGGTGTTTCTTCTTCTTGAGATAGAGGACTTTGAGATAATGAAGAAAGGCAGTTTTTGAAATCTCAACTACCAGAGATTCCAAGTTTTTACAACAACCTATTCTAAACTCAAGTTTAAAGAATTTTTTTTTTTGAAACAAATACTCTATTAAGGAAAAACCCTAAAAAAGAAAAATATTTTTTGATTCTTTTTTTTTTAAGAAGGAAATCTAAAGAATAAACCAAAGAAAAATATTTTAAATTTTCACCTGATATCCTGAAGAAAAACAAGAAATAAAAAAGATAAAAAATATTTTTGGGTTTCAGTTTTTGACTACCTAATGGAGAAACTCTAAAGATAAACAAAAGATAAAGTATGTTTTTTTTTCTATGTACAATGTTCTAAAGTTATAGCAAAAATAAAAAGAAATTTTTTTTCTATTCATTTTTCATTAATTTCCCAAAAGAAGAACCTCAAAAGAATTTTTTTTTAAAATTTTGGAATTAATATCTTTAAGAAAACTTTTAAATGGGTGCTAAAAGAAAATTCTCTCTTTTTTTTTTTGAATTTTTTGGTCTTAATAACTAAAGGAAATATAAAAGTACTTTTTTTTTAATTTTGAGTTCTAAATATTAACTTCCTAAGGAAAACCACCTCAAAAGATTTTTTTTTAATTTCTAGAATTAATATTCTAAAGAAAATTTATAACGGAAATATAAAACGCAAAATCTTTTTTTTTTTTTTGGATTTTTGAGTTACACCACACTTTTTCAAATACAAAATAGAAAGTACAATAACAAAAACTCGACATTACTGTACAAAACTAGAAAGTAAAAGACGACAAAAAAAATAGACTCGAAACATAAAAAAGAAAATCTCCTTTTAATCTACTCCTGAATGAGCGATCCTGACTAGATGATTGGGGCACTGTCATGTTCAAACTCTGGTAAGTAAACCCACACCTGTATGAGAAAATCAAGACCAAATAAAGTTAAATATTTAGACCACTACGTGAGATAATAACATTCCTGTTGGACACATGCAAGACATGATTGTGACTATTTTTTTAAAATTAACCTATGTAGCTAAATGTGGCTAAAAATGTAAGATTTGGCTACGACCCCGCAAAGCCAAGAACATAAGATTCACTAGGAAGACCGGACCCTATGTGGGTTGCCTATGTATCTCGCCCTGAAAGACGAGAATCAAGTATACGTAGTTCGGGCAAATTGGATACGGGTGAGAATTAAAAAAAACAATTGATTTGGAGAAAATATATTTTTTGTCTTTTGTTTTGAAAAATAATGAAACATGTAAACTCTTTTTTTTTTGGATTTTTTTTCATTTTCTCATTTTTATACTTCAACCTCTTTTCTTTACCATTTTTTTTCTTTTTTCATTTGCCCTCAACTATCATTGGTCTGCCAAATGATCATTTTACCCTTGAAGAAATGCAATATGTAGCACATGGGATGCATCAAGATGGTCTGTTATTTTGGATACACCTGTCCTAGACGGACCCAACCCCTGTGTTGAGTCCCCAAAGTCATATGCACGTGATGCAAACAAGCGTTCCTACAAGGGATTCAGCATGAGGCTATGTTATTCTAGGTTTAAAAACCTGGGTTTATTTGTTCTAGACCTAGTTTACCCGAGCGGACAGCTCGAGCCGGGGAGGAGGGGGGGCAGCGTACCAGGAATACAAAAGCTTCACCAGCTTTGCAACTTGTCCGAACCTCGTTCTAAAATTGGGATATGACTCTAACAGAAAAGAAGTCACACGAAGTGCACACTTCCTAGATGATTTAGAAGACTCAGAGAGAGGAGGGTTTCATATCAATTTATATACAGTTCAACAATATCAAAGCGGTAAAAAGCAACATTTAGCACATTAAACCCAAACATGTAAATAAAACCAGATAATAAATAAAGCCAAATATAATAGATATTCCAAGATCTAATTCTGAACCCTGAACCAAAAGTTCTGGGTTCTCTTCCCCAGTAGAGTCGCTAGAGCTGTCACACCTTTTTCCTACCCCCGGAAGGGTATAAGGGAGTTTTTTCCAATTTAAGTGACAATCGAAAACAGGATTATTTATTTAAAATTCAGAGTCACCACTTGGGATAATTTATGGTGTCCCAAGTCACCGGTTTAAATTCCGAATCGAGGAAGGATTGACTCTGTTTATAGTCCGCGAACACAGAAATCCGGGTAAGGAATTTTGTTAACCCGGGAGAAGGTGTTAGGCATTCCCGAATTCCGTGGTTTTAGAACGGTCGCTCAACTGTTATTATTGGCCTGATTATCTGATTTTAAAACACTTTTAAACCTATGTGCAGTTTCAAATTTAAAACCGCTTTTATTTATTATTTTTTAGGAAGATTCAACGTTATTTAAAACACGCCTTGAACCACGCCACATGAAATGCACCTGTGGTCTATGACACATTTTATTTAAAGTTGTTGAAAATTGGAGTTGGGTCACATGAAATGCACACCTGAGTTTAAGGAAATAAATTTAAATAGAGCGCCTAAAGCAACTACGCACTTTCAAGTTTGCGAGGGCCATGAGAAATTCAGCTAAAAGGATGTTTGAACTACTCTTTTGAGGTCCATAAATTATATGTTTTGTTGAAATGGCATACCCCAACCTAATTACAAAAGGTCATTTTAACTAAGCCTAGATGGTTTGGTATTAAAGGAGTTATTAATTGTGAGCACAAACGGGCCATGAGTTGTTTCAAAGAAATAGCCAACATATGCTTTCCTTGACTTGGAAAAGCCAGATGGCCAAATTAATTCACAGCATGACAGAAGGGCCAGGCCTTTGGGGAAAAGGCTCCAACACGCGAGATGAATTATCCGGACAGTCTTGGGCCATTTAATAGGCCCGACTGTTTTAGAGATATTGTTCAGCATTTAAATAAATGAGTAACCCAAAAATTAATCTATATTAGACTTAACTGATCTTGTTAAATCAAGTAAAACATATTCTTCACCTACTTTTAAAATCAGATTGCAAAGCATTCAGACATTATATACTCAATGAACATCCAGGATATATGTGCTTAAAAATCAAAACTATTACTAATTGATGTTAACTTCATACGCATGGTGGTTCTATAAATGGAATACCCCAAACATTTGAGCCAAACATCAACATACAACATCATGCTTCTGAATTTATTCTGATACCAAACCCACATATGAGACAGTAAAGAAACCCATGAACAGAGTTAACTGTGGACTAAAAATCATTACCAGCTTGAAGCAAATACAATCAAAACCTAAGAAGGTCAATTCTTCATCTCAGTTGAGACCATCTCATGATAGTCCAACACTAATCACATGATAGAAAAGTTCAATTCAAATTGAAATCAGAATGACAAATTTAAAGTCCAAAGACAACCCCAATATAACTTGTAATGTCCTTAGCATGAGTAACTATAACGAATAGTGTAATGAAACATAGTTTAATGTAGAACAAAGGTGAGTTATCAACAACATGAATTGTTATTCAGCCAAGTAAAGTGTACATCTCCACATGCTTCAGCTTCAAGATTCACATGTTAATATAGTCCAAGAGGTACCTGATTTCAGCAGAAGTAACAAAGGAAAACAAGCCCAAGGTTAGGAAGAAACAACAACAAAAGACCAGCAGCAAGGAGAAACAACCAACAACTTCTAATTCAAACCATGTTCAGTTTGTGCAAACCAAAAACAAACCCAGGAATTCTAGAATAGAAACTTTTCAAACATAACTCTAATGAAAGCAAGAAATGGGCAAAGTTCAGGGAATCACAAAATTAATCGCGGAGAAGTTTTTCAGGTTTTTTAGGGCGAGAGTCTATGTGTGCTGGATGAGGGGAGGGTCTTATTTATACAACAGAAATTTGTTGTGTGCAATCCAAGGCAAGACAATGGAATTTTCCCAAAATACCCTCACAGGGCATCTTTTAAAGCTGATTTTTGTACAAATGTCCCTTTCCTTTTA